TTTACTCTTGGTTTACTCTTGGTTTACTCTTGGTTTACCCTTGATTTACTCTTGATTTGTGATTTCTATAATTTCCCCCCCTCGCGTTTGTCCGTGCTTGTATTTGCACGTGTATGTAGTATGTACTAGCAGTAGTGTAAATAGAAGCAACAGCCTCTACGGGTTGAGCCGGGTACTACTACAAATCTAGGTTGTGATCTCGGGGATCGTCATGATGGCGTGCTCGAACATCGACTTAGACTAGTCCGTAGTCCATGGTTCTTCTATATCGAGACTGTCAGCTGTCGTGTATAGATTTACTTCGTAATTTCCAAGTCCCTGCGCTATGAGGGGGTGTGCCTATCAATTGAACAAAGTTTTGGTGAAATATTGGTGTTAGCCCTAGACATAATGTTCAATGTTTATCATACCCATTTGCGTCTACGGTGGCGCTAAGCGCGCTGTCGTCATAACGTGCTGGAGGGGTTGCTTTACCTCTCTACCTCTTCTTCCCTCCCCCTTTCTTACTTTCTCACTTGGTGGGGGAGATTGACTAGATGGAATTATACAGATACTTCTGAAAAATTTCTTGGTGAGTAGGGGTGAAAGTTGCCAAGCTACCCATACGCATTGTGAAGCAGAGAGCAGAGAGTACCTAACCCTAACTCCCTCCTCCCTGCGTTACCATTATTTCTCTGCAAAAGAACCTTCGCTCAGTTCAACCCTAGCCAATACTCCTGGACATCATGTATTCGCAACATGAGAGTGAGTATTAGTACGAACTGGCAAGTACACTGACTGCAGGTATCCATCTCACTAGAGACATTCCCTTTGACCACGACGTCGAGTTTGATATATTGGGCCGTTTTGCTGTGTCAGTGCTTGACAGTTATGCATACTGCAGGGCAACACAGATCGGACTCGGACAAGGCCCGAGATACGACTTGACCTCTGGTGGGGTGGTGGCATGTTATATGGTCTGATGTATCGTGTGAGGAACAGGAATTCTCAGATGTAAGGATACAATGGCATGGCAAGTGGATATCGGCTTCCCGCTGTGTAACTATTGATGTCCTTTTGTTGTTTTCTTGCTTCACCTGGAAGAATGATTGATCTGCGGATGAATACCGAGGATACCGCAGCATATATCAATGCGGGGAAATGAATTACTCTAACATACTATATTATACATACCCCTCCAAGTCCGGGGTGAATCTGCGGAGAGGACGCGGCGACTCGTCCAATGGGTGCGATGCAAGCGTTCGGCATTCGTACCGCACCTCCGCATTTCGCCCCTCTTGGCCCTCGGATAACTCTGCGTTGTGTCTAGTATATCTTCTCGTGTACCTTACGGTTGGCAATTCAGATCATTAAATATTTTCATCCTCTCGAGGCATTTCATATACATATACTATAATCAACATGACGAGGCAATTGGCTCCCGGTGCTCGGTTGCAGGGCAAAGTGGCTATTGTTACTGGTATGTTCCTACTCTATAACTTCGTGGGATGGGATGCATATCGCTAATGATGAGCCAGGCGGTGGTTCGGGTTTTGGTGCGGCGATTGCCCGTCGATTCGGCGAGGAGGGGGCTAAGGTGATTGTTACTGATATCAATGCCGAGGGAGGACAGAAGGTCGCCGCTCAGAATCCGGAGAATCTGGTCTTTCAACAGATGGATGTCACCAAGGCGGAGGATTGGACGACCGTCATGGATTTGGCGTTTTCGAAATTCGGAAGACTGGATATCCTGGTGAACAATGCCGGGATAACGTATCGGAACAAGGTATATGCATCGAGACTAAAATGATCGCCGAGGCTCGTTCGCTGATTCGCAGTAGCCAACGGACGAAGTCACCGAAGAAGAATGGGAGCGCGTCTTCAACGTGAATGTGAAAGGAATCTTCCTGGGCTCGCAGGCCTTGGTGACTCGTTTAATGCAACAGGGTCAGGGCGGTTCGATGATCAATATTTCGTCTACTGGTGCATCGCGGCCACGGCCAGGGTTGGTCTGGTATAATGCCTCTAAGGGGGCGGTTTCGAATGTAAGTTCTCCTGTTCTGTGACCCCGTGGGCTTTTGCGCAAGCCTGGCTGTTGGCTAACTCGAACAGGCTACGAAAGGTCTCGCAGCCGAGTATGGTCCTCACAACATCCGCGTCAATACCGTTAGCCCCCTTCTATCAGGAACAGGCCTGTTTTCCATGTTCACCGGCATGCCTGATACGCCTGAAAACCGGGAGAAGTTCATCGGAAATGTGCCGCTGGGCCGATTGACAGATCCTGATGATGTTGCAAACATGTGTCTATACTTGGCTAGCGATGAGGGCAGTTTCATAAACGGAGCAGAGATGATTGTCGATGGAGGGAAGTGTATCTAGTTAGGACCTCCATCCTCTGTTCTTATCTCAGTGAACAGTTATTCCTGGGCACTCAACCCTAGGATATACATGTTGAAACGTGTAACAAGCACGGACGTCCGGGTGCTACATGCTGTATCAATGTTAGAGCTTACATCGGCGCCAAAAGACGGCACATATACAATTTCAAGACCATGCAGAAGGATCAAAAAGTGATAGATCCTCCTCTAAAAGTCCTAACATATGTTGATTTCCCGAGAACCAGCTGCCCAATGTAGTCGGGGGCATAGTGTTCGGGCATGCTTGGCCTTCAGCTCCTTCGCCCAAGCTTTGGGGGATCGGTCCCGGCGCAGGAACAGGGCCATTCCATCGAACATCACCGCCTTCGGGCTGTGTAGGCGCCAAGCCAAGAGCACTAAGATAAACATCGAATTCTTGGCCCACAGACGCCAGATCTTCGTTCTCTTGCGTTTGAGCCTGCGCTTTTGCCTCGACATATAGTCTCGCAACGTTGCTGAGGACCTGGCAGAGCCGATGCATTTTCGCAATAGCCTCCGATGATGAACAGTTGGGCTGGAGCGAATTGACAAAGTCTTCCAGTCGCACCAGGTCTGAATAGGACGTTGATTCGATAACATGGCAAAACAGCACTATAAACGGCACGAATGGCGAGTACATTACCGTCCTGAATATACAATTAGCTACCGGTAACAACTCCCAAAATAAAATGATTTGTTCAAACCGTACCAGTGTAGGTAGGAACACTTGACTGCATTACTTCGGTTACCTTCCTCCATCATCGTCATGCAACTTTGGTGTAGTTCCAGCGTCACTCGTGCTGTCTCGATGCATTCGTCTATGAATGTGCTGCGACTATCTTCAGCCGCAGGGATAGCTCTGTATATTAGGGTCAACACAGAGAGGCGGCAGACCTCATCCGACATGAGATAAATTTCGTCAAGCGGAGAGACATTCGTGAATTTGGGGCTAGCCTTCTGCCTAAGTCTCAGCCTTGTGCGAATATAACATAACAGCATAGTTCACTTGGGAAAGCATACCTTAAATGGCTCTTCAACGCTCATTTGCATCTCTGCTGCCAACTGACGGGCATGTGATGCCCTTTCGTTTGCAGGTTTACGCAGGGCTGCAGGGCTGTAGAGCATCTCATACACTTTACCCTGGATTCTGGCCAGATTAATCCACAGCGGATAGATAGTTCTCCACGGCTCGAAATCTCCAAGAAGTCCATCTTCTGCAGGTAATGAAATATCATAATCCTGTATGGATGAGGCGCGGCCGAGCCGCAGCGAAAGGGCTTTCTCTGTGACATAAACTGACCAAAATAGACGGCGCTTATTTTGCCTCACGGTGAAACTGTCATTCTCCATTGAGGAAGCTCGATGATAACCGAGCGTCTGGCATAGCCGGAATGCGGTTGATGCCAACGCCAAACCTAAGGAGGGTTTCGAAGTCTCAATAGCGTGAAGAGCCTAGATGATCAGAATCTCCAGCAGAGCGCCTGTAGAGCTCGAACTTACACCCATGCTAAGCGCTTCTATAGAATCCATTGTGGCGGGCGTCAGAAGATTCAGGTTCGCTAGACCTGTCTCCAGGTTAACCCGACAAAGGTTGTGGTATTTATCGTACATTTCTCGCTTGGTGGTGTCACTTTCGGAAAAGCTAATTTCACTAAAGAGATACACCAAGCATGCATTCACCACGATAAACGTAGCGTCGGAGTATTCCTCGGTGGCAAAGTACACCTGGCGGCACTTCTCAAAAAGACTGTCTGGTGTGATAAAAGGGAAGAACCCTAGCAAGGTAGTTGCATGTTCCTCTATTGATAGCTAGTTAGAATTCACTGCTGGCTATGGAAAGGATACAGCCCATGGTACCTTTTACATGGCGCAACAGCGGCAAGACAACCTGTACAGGGGGAAGGTTCAGATTCCGCAGTCCTGATCTCGGTATAGCTTTCTGGTTGGGGAAGCGAACGTCGCGTGAAGAAGGATGGGCCTGATGATCCTGCATGTTGACAAGCTGCTTGAGCGTTGAAAGGGCGGTGTTGATCGTTGGGCTGGATAGTTGCAACGCGCTGCGTGAGACTGCTGTCTCGAGAAACTGACTCGCATAGGCGGAATGGGCTGCAAGAGATGAATTACCCTCGAACGCAGGGCCAGACTCGTGTTCGTCTAATGCGGCGTTGACGTCAGACGCAAGTCCAGAAGCAGACGAAGTCATCTGTCTTGAATCTGGCGTTGCATGGAAGCAGGTCTCGGTAGGAGTACTGGAGGTAACAGTGGCCTTCACGTCACGGAGGACTTGTTCGATGCTGGACAGGCGATCTTCGATCAAATCGATTTTCTTTTCACTGGGGAAGTCAGAAAGGTTCCACTTTCGACTGCGTTCGACACGCCTACTATTGATCGGAAATTAGGACTCGTCTCCGTGGCTCGCGAGGCTTTTGACCAGCGCCTGTGGTGCGACAGACAATCTGCGAACTACGGCAATTAGAGCAGGGCGACCGTTTGTCACATCGTATCTAGCCGGCATGATTAATTAGTTTGGCTCTAAGCCTATAGATTTCTACCGTTTGCCAACGCAGTATACCTTTCTAAGACGACATTGGTCACACTGGACTGTTAGTCTGATTGTGCTAGGGAATAAGTACTATGCAAGTGGTCAAACACTTACTGCGCGCCGAATGGGAAGAGACTCCCTGCTATCACTCTCGGGGCCCTCGGGCTCCATTTCTGGGCGTCAATTAGTCTGATATAACCGAAGAAGGATATTGTATACGACTAATACTGGGACTGTTTGGGGGAAAAGGTCATGACGGAGGGTCTGATGGGGAAGTCAAATACCGTTTCGGATTCCGCGGGACCCGAGCGGAACCAGAAGGCAACGACAAAACGTGCAGATACTGGTACATGTCAGTACTGCACAGTTGGTCTGTCTGGCCGACTGTATCCAGAGGTTATAATACAGGGTACGGAGTACTCGTAACTACTAGTACAGCGTAGAAATCTACCTGTGCCGGCTCTCGAATACTAAATAAAAAGGAGCGTATTACCTCCGAAGCACAAAACTCTTTGGAAGACATTACCCGGTCTAATACAAAGCCTACGACTGTCTGGAATTACAATAAATAGTGTAATCTTGGGTATTCTCGTATGGAGGACTCGAAAGATATGTTCTACTTATTTTCTGTCTCAGAATCTGAAAGCATACCCGCTCCTGACCTATCACCTTCAACGTCACTATAGCTATGGCTATCTGCGACCAAATCTTTGTCAAGATCTTCTGAATTGATACTTAAGAGCTTGCTCTTTTTTTTTAATCACGGATTTCCTGTTGCTCCGCTTTTCTTTGTGTTCCCCTTCTCTTTTTCCTTGATTCTACTGGGTAGACTGGCGAATGGCGATGCTAGGTTAGGTTAATGGGCAAGCTATGCCTAACCCTGCTAGGTTCAAGTAGTCGAGTTCCAGTATCTAATCATCATCTGATTCGCTTTCTGGCAGCATTCTGAGCTTCTTCTCTCGCTATATCTTTTTGGTGTATCTGTATTCAATTCAAGCCAGTAGTCTAATGACCCGATTAGTTTTGATGCGGAAGTCTTATGTGCAGGAAGATGTAAAGATGGGGGAGAGGATATAAAAGAGGAAAGGGACGGTATCGAGAGGGGGAAGTAGGGTAGCCGTGATGAGATATCAGTGCCATGAAAGTCATTGCAAATGGTAGTGAGCTGAAGAGAAACAAATGATAAAGCCCATCGTTCCAGTGATTTTGAGGAATAGTAAGCATAGCCTGATAGGGTTTGAACCGCACGAGACACACTTGTGTAACCAGGAACTTTATTGATTAAGATCCAACAATCTCACTTCTTAATACCGATGACGGCCAGGTTCCTTGGACTTTCACTATAATCGAAGACGGGCTCAACCCAACAGTCCTTGACACTGTCATGTTCACGCAGGAATTGCCATCGGTCAACCACGATAATGGCCTCAACCAAAGAGCAACTATACGCCATTAAGCTCCAAACGATGCTGAGGTACTTCTTCGTGTGCCAGTACTTTTCCGCGTAGTCATTTAGCTCCTCCTCGGTAATGTCCGACATGCCTGCTTTCACTTTCTCGCCGTTATGAGGATCCCGGCTGAGCTTCACCACGGCAGCGCGAGCATATGCAGGAAAGGAAGCGAAAGCGGACTTTCGCAAGGAGCCGACAATGAGAGGGTTACCCGCTTCACTCGAGTCCAAAGACTCGGCGCCGTACAATTCTTTCGGGATGGAAGGCTTTGCCACAACCCCACGGTCCACCAGGACTTTCTGGAGGAGTGACCGATAGAAGTGCCGGGTGAAGAAGTTCTCGCTGTCTTCCCTGCCCCAGTTGTAGGGTGCCTGAAGGGACATCGACCTTGCGGTAATGTTCAGCTTCACGCCTCTTCCGCTGTCATGCTCGTAGTCTTCCAGACGTTTCGACATCGGAAAGCCGTGCGGATCATACGCGATGGCATCCTTGGTCAGGCGAGGGTGTGTGGTTCGAAGAATAGGAAGCTTGTACGTAGCAGGACCGAGTCTTTCAGTCACCAGGTTATAGCAGCAACCAATCATGGCAATGGCTTTCACGGACGGGTTCAGAACCAAGGATTGAACACCATGATGAAGGAGATTTCCGCAGGAATGTAAGGAAACAACCATAACACGGGCATCATTCGGTTTTCCATTGCTTTCCTGCTCGGCGCTCATTGAGCTTTCGGTGGGTGCAACAGGCGGCGGCTCAATCACGTCCTTTATGATGGGCTCTAGGTACCCATCCTTAATATCATGTTCAATATAATCCATCGTACCCCTCGGCTGATTGGACTGCTGTTTCTTAGCCGCCAAGGCCATCGCTTTCTTAATGGGATCGTTCTTATGCGGAGCCGAGCCGATCTCATCGGGCGCGATACTGATGTCACGGAAGACATTTATCATGGCAACGTCCTCCTCGTCCACGTCTTGCTTTGCACTTTCCTCAGCCGTTACATTCTCCAGTCCTTCTGACTCGCGAGCGGACGCATTCTCGTTTATCGGCACGGTTCTTTCTGGTTCCTCGCAATATTTACAGGCGGCCTTCTTATTATATAGTCTAATCTTTTTCTTTTCCTTTAGTTTCGCAAATATATCAAAATCCTTCGCTCCATTGATGAATTGGTGTTTTCTTTCAATAGCGACAATGTGCCGATTATATGGAGGGCTAGCAAGCGTCCGTCCAAGATAGCTTTGACCCGACCCGAAATCCACGACGTGGGTTATGTTGTCACCCCGCTGCTCATCCACTGTTGCGCACAGGGAATCGACATATCTCGAAAAGTGTGCTACCTCATGGTACTTCTTGACATTCATCCCCACGGCAATGTGTTTCGGTATCGTTGGTTTCCCAGGTTGTGGGGGCCGGAAATCTCTACCCAAAGTAAGACGTCGGATCTGCTGGAGGTACTCTAAGAGATCTGTTGGAGGTAAGGGAGCTCCCCTCCATTCCTGTCGTGCACTCGGATTGCCTCCATCTGCCGCGAGGTCCCTGCTCTGGTCTAAGAGCGGCTGGAGATCTTCCCTCAGAAACAAGTCGAGAAGGTCCTGGATATCATGATGTTCAAAGAACGCCCGCCAATGCTCCGGAAGAAGCGACGTATAGAGATCCGGTTCGCGCGTCAGAAAGTCTAAGATATGCACGCCGCCGCAAAGGTGGCGGAAGATGTCGGATGAGGTAGCGAAGGACAGGAGGGCGTCGACGTAGGCATCGGGATCAGTCCACTCTTCAGTGAGTGGAAGCGTTTTAGGTCGTGGCATGCGTTCGTTCGACCGTCAAAGAGCCCGAAAAGGAAAACAGGGAACAAGTGAAAAATAGCGCAACCCGAAAGCACTAAAGAGAGTGTAACGAATGAGGAACGGTCTATAAAAAGAAAGTCGAGGATGTCACAAGGAATGTTGAGGGCCGCGAAGATCACAGAATAATTCCAGATTTTTTTTTTTTTTTACTTTTTCCTTTTGGTCGAGGGGTAAAAGGGGAACGGATTCGGTTTAGGCCCGTTGCGAGCTCCACCAGCACGGATCGGCGGAATCCAGAGTATGGGGTATGGAGCACAGGTGTGGAGGTCGTTTCTGAGTTCTCACCCAGCTCGACACTCTCGGGAATCCTCCTGACACCACGGTGGGCTCCTGAACTCCCCTGAAATCCCGATCACTTGCTTGGTTGGATTCTGGTGCACAATGACGAAGCCCACAGTGACAGCACTGGAAGCCAGACTATTGGCGATAGTGGCACATGAGACCTGCTGATCTTTACTTTTAGGTCAACATCGGTGCGCTGCCATCCTATATTAAACAACCACTAACATCAAATCTTTCGGGACTAAGAATGGAGCTGCCCGACCGGTTGCGGATTTGAGCATATATAGGAAGTGAACAAAACTGCGTTGGCACTTAGGAACACCCGCGATAGGCTATTTCGCTCTGCCATCTCATAAACGTGACCGTACTGCGCTCGCTGAAGAAAGGAGATATCCCAGCCCAGGCAAGGGGTGCCACCACGTATGATATACTCCTCTCTATTCATTTATTGTCTCCTGCATCCTGCAGGCTCAGCCTCGCGATCTGCGAAATTACAACAGGCACGCAGATGATTATCTGCCAACGCGTCACACCGTCGAGAGTTTAACTATCCCTATGCGGCAATTTATATTCCCCTTGCTGTTAAGAAAATATAAGCATTAGATTCCTCGGCACAAGCTAATGGTTGATATCTGAAATTGTCAAGCGAACTCACTCAACTAGAGCCCGGAGCATTCCAGAATTATGGTGAGTAAACATGACGGCTTAGATTGTGTTATTCTGTAGTTTATCATATGGATTCCCGAGCGCTTACTGATCCACCTGATATCCACCTAGTTGATAATTTCGAAGACGAAGCAGAAACAAAGACCCTTAGGCTCCATTCCCGATGTGCTTTTTCAAATCATTATCAATGGAGATGTTGGTGCAGTATTGACACTCTGTTTGGTAAACAAGGCAACCTATGAAGCTATCAAATTGCTTGAACCACACATTTGCCGGTGGTTAATGCGCATCCATGGCGTCAGCACATTTGACCCTGTGCTCACCTTGAATCCGCGGACGGGTGAACAGAGGACACTGACGGTACACAATCTGTCAGGATTTCTTGAGCGCCAGGTCATTGCACACAAGCTAGCGTGCCAGATTGTCCCCTCAGTATGGGGTCCCTTCCCAGACGAGGAAAGCTCAAAAATGAACTATCAGGCAGAGGAAAAGCTCGTTCAGCGACTAGAGCGAGGGCTGTACGTACTTTTCCACATGGCTGATATTGCCCGCGACACATACAAAACAAAGCAAAGGATAAACCCTCTGGTTCCGGACGTTACCGGCCGCCTTTTGGTGCTTACTAGGATGCTGGAAGAGTACCACGAGATCCCGCGAAACAAGCGTTGTCTGACGTCCTTTCAAGAGTATGCCAGCCACGCTTATACAGTCTTAAAGTGGGGTTATAGAGAAGTAGATATCGGCAGGAGACGACTCAAATTCAGAGGCTACCTTGATGAGCAGACAGAGATTGATTTCCACACCACACTCCGAATGCTGCGGGAGCTTACGGAGAGGATGCTTCTCCGACATGGTCCCAGAGACTGGCATCGGGATGCGAGAAACGAATACAGCGTGATCTCATGGTTTCTGCTGAAGCAATCGCCACGATCCCTAGCAAAGCTCCTCCTAAGCCCACAGGACGAGTGCTGTGGTCTGGAGGAGAAAGCTTCCGATTCCAGTGTAAGACAATGTCATTTCTCAGACCCACTCGATGATTACTGGAAAGCTTGGAAGAATGTCCCAGACTTGGGCTGCCGGACCTGTGACTGCAAGCGACGAGTGAAAAGCTGGAGTGTGAAACCAGCATTGATTGATGATCGAGGCCGACAATACAACCGCGCTGCAGAGAAATATTTGAAAGAGATGTGGACACAAAGACACGCCGGCCTTCACCAAGTTTTTACGATGGGCTATTTCAACATTGTTTTATAATGACTAGATGAGCGATAATCAGTTTCCTATACCAGATTGAAAATATGAACCGAGAGTTAATGAAATGATGGTCATCAGAGCTGTAACGCAAGGAGGTTAGATAGGCCCCACCGCCTTCCCATAGCGCCGCCCCAGATTACCGCTTCTACCACCGCCTGGGATTCACCTGGAATGTCCTCAAAGTCCAGAACAAAGTATCATCATTCACAGGCTCCCGGCCCTTCAAGGCTTCAAGAATTACCGTTCGATCCCTAGTACTTGAAATGATCTTTTCATAGTAATAACACTGTGATAATATAACCATGGATCACGCCGATCCGTTCCTCCATGTTCAAGCGTCCGTCTCCCTAGTCTTTCCCCCTTGGACCAAGTAGCACGACCAGCTAACCCTGCACAGAGACGTCCTTGCGACGCTGCAAACAACAAGGCCTCTCTTCTCATCATATCTACGTATCAGGTCTCTCGCCAAATCCCCGTCTAACCCCGAGCTTCAGCAAGCACGATCGGAGCTGGAGACGACGCTGACCGAACTCACTGCGGACTTGGATGATCTTGTTGAGAGTGTCCGTGCGATCGAACAAGATCCCTACCGGTATGGCTTGGAGTTGGAAGAAGTTCAGCGCCGGCGAAAGTTGGTGGAAGATGTCGGTGGAGAGATTGAGCAAATGAGAGAGGAGTTGCAAAAAGCCGTTAGTTCTGCGGCACCTGGCAATGCTACTGGCAATTCGTCTTCGGGGCTACCCAATCCAGCGGACTTTGATAATGTCCTCTCCCCGTCGGCAGATGATAGAGGGGATGATTACTATGCCGCTCTCGAACAGCAACGGCAGATGGAACTAATGCACGAGCAAGACGAACAGTTAGATGGCGTCTTTCGCACTGTTGGCAACTTGCGGCAACAGGCCGACGATATGGGGAGGGAATTAGAGGAGCAAGCGGTCATGATAGGAGAGGTTGATACATTAGCCGACCGAGTAGGGGGCAAGTTACAAAGTGGAATGTCCAAGATTAAATATATCGTGAGAAAGAACGAAGGTGAGTATGACTTCACACTGTTTCGTCGCCCCTTCCGTCCTGCTATTATTTGCTTTTGATATCAAGGCTAACTGAATATTACATAGATACAATGTCCTCGTTTTGCATTGCCGTTCTCATTTTCGTGCTTGTCCTATTATTAATCCTGCTCATCGCCCTGTAAGAAACCAAGCAAAAAAAGTTCAAAATACAAATCGTCATGCGAATCGGTCGGTCGAAAAGAAGATTTCACAGGCTTACACCTTGGTCTTCTTCTTGGGGCGTATGTCTTCCTCGTCGTCTTCATCTTCCTCATCTTCGTCTTCAAGATCACCCTCGAGCTCCTCGATATCCATCCCCTCATCGCGATCTTGACACCGTTAGACTATCTATTTCAAAGATTTGATGGGAACAACATACTGAATAGTTCGAGAGCATGGGGCCACAAGTCGTCAGCAATGGCGATAGCAAGCTGCTCTCCGTCTGGGAAGACCTCAATATCTTCGAATTCTTCGTCCTCCTCTTCCTCCTCTTCCTCAACTGTCTCTCCTTTGGACAACTGGGCAAAGCGCTCGTCAGCTTGCTTGGTAGCGGCCTTCGACTCCTCTGCAGACACATCGTTACCCCGGTAGCCGAAGAAGGCGAAGAAGCTGGCGCCTGCGGGGCTGAGGGGGAAATCCTCGTCCTCATCCTCCTCCTGGTCGGCAGTAGTCTCCAGTTCAACAATCTTGTTCTTCAGCTTCTCCAACTCCGGGAGCTTCTTGCGGTCCTTTCCACCCTTCTCGGCCTCGGCCAGATCGCAAGCCGCATCGAGCAAACCCTTGGTGAGATCCATGTCCTTCTTCCACTGAATACGAACCGGCTCAGAGACAAGACCCTCCCAGGACTTGGTCTTTCCATCGGCGGTCTTGACGGACCTCCTGCGCCAGTAGAGCTCCTTGACGAGCTTCTCGTTCTCGAAGAACGGATTTTCCTCACCAGTGCGGAATTCAAAGGTCAAACGAATGCTGCGAGGCTCACCCTGGCCTTGCTCATTGATCTCGAATCGGTCCACCTTCAGGTTCTTGAGGGTAGAGCCTAGAGCGGCCGCGTCAGGGGTCATGATGTACTGGTCGATCTCGCTGGGGGCATTGGCGAAGACGCGAACCCAGAAGTTCTCCTTAATCTCATCGTTTCCGTTGACGAAGGCATCGCGCTCGTTGTACCAATCACGCATCTTCAGGGTGCTGTCGCGAACTGCCAGAATTAGTTATACTGCACGGGCGCTCGATGCGATCGATGCCAAACTTACGGCAATCGACGTCAATGCGAGAGCGCTTCTCTTCGAGGAAAGACATCTTCTTCAATTGCGCCTCGGTGGGCTCGGATCCCTGGAGGCGATCAAGCAACGAAGCTCCAAAGTCGGTGGACATGATAACGATGAAGACCTAAGCTCGGTCGAATAAAACTGGCGAGGAAAGGGGTACGAGAAGCTTTGAAGATACGATTCGGGCGGCAATTCTATGCGAAACCTGAGGGAAAAAAATGGGGGGGAGGCGATGATTGTAGAGGTAGGGGAGATAGATGGGGAAGACGCGATCAGAAAATTTTAAATTCTTCAAAAACTTTACTCCGCGCAGACGGACTATCGCAATTGCGCTCCCGTCTGGACTCGGCGTGTCAGGTCCAGTCACCTGCTCACACTAACGCTGTCCGGCAGCAAGCACCCTTCCGCCAATCAGGAGCTGTCGGCCCTGGTTCCGTTCCCATCCATCATCATTTGTTATGTTTATGTTCTTGTCAGCCTGTAGTATTCATAAAGTATGTACACATCAGGTATAGTAGTCTCTAGACCCAGCATCCACAGTTACGCTCAGATGAAACAAGACAATGAGATTACTATATATAGCACACAGCATCATTGCCATACAAAAATAGTATACATCGAAAAATCGGTATCGCAGAGAAAACCGACGCCGTCATATAGACACTACGAAGTATTATGCCCAATTCAACGCGTCCTGATCTATATCCCCACCATAATAAGCACTTAGCTCCATCCAAGGAGTACCACTCCTTCCATAATAACGACCACTGGCAAAGTTACCCCTGGAATATTTCATACGCGTGATCCATATCCAATCTCCGGCCAACCATTATTCCTCTACCTAAACAATCCCTCCCACCCAGAACAAGTCTAGGAAAGACCAATCATAGAATGAATAGCAGGACTCCATCCATAAGGTCCAGACAAGGTCACGTTGCTTTTGTTTTGTTTTTTCTCCCCGATAAAGCCAGGATATACTTTAGGCTAAGTGGTTAGACTCTGCGATAGTTGGCCTCTAAGAGTTACTGGTGACGTCGGAGTTTTAATTGAACTCCGGGTCTGTTCGCTGATAAACTCAGGGAGATTACTAGATGCGGGGAGATAAGGGATCGGGGGGATTTTTTTTTTCTTTTTCTTTTGCTGCTCTCCCTTTAGGTTGAAGAGGATTTAGTTTATTTTGACTTCACCCATCTTTAGTAGGCGGGGTTCTTGGTCACAATGAGGTTCGCCATCGTCAATTCGCGGTATTAGCCATTCTTCTCTCTATGAATCATGCTAATCAACCTCCCCGCTGCTGCCTTGCAAGACGGGATCGTCGTGCCCAAGACACTGGAACACACAACATACACACACATATAACACTTCTCTCACATCCAATCCGAGATGGATTATAAATTTCAAATCATCAAACAGCCGCCGGTGTGAGTCGTAACACACGAGGGGAATAAGTAAAATCGACGGGTAATAAAAGAAATGAAAGAAAAAGAAATATAGCCAATCAATCAACTTTTGTGGCGGATGGGCCACTGGTCATCATGCTGCATGTCGTGACGTGCGTTTCATCCAACCGTACCGTTCCAATCAAAACAAACCATTACTTTTTTTCTGTCTTCTCGTCCGAGGTAAGATAAGAGCTGTGGAATCTTTTCTTTTTTTTGTTTCCCGCTCCATTAGGATACTTTTCCTCAACGATAAGACCCAGGCCGATTCGCCGTTAATGCTATTAATAAAAGGAAAACAAGGGATGACAGGGAGAGGAGTAAAACAGAAGGAGGGGAGAGCGAAAGGGGCTTGCGAGCATATCGGACCAATCGTGGCGGGTTCCGATAGCGTCAGAAAGCCGCGATGTCTGTGCGACTGCCCCTAAACCGGTTGGAGTGTATCTGACCGAGAGAGGGTTCTCCCGGTTACAGCATCCAGTCCAGTCCGTTGGCCTCCTCTTCGATCGGAAAGACCTCACGCGCATATTCTTCCATATCACGCCAACCCTCCCACAGGTGCCGAGCCTCGTCGGTGACTCTCAGCGATACGACCCCTCCGGGACCCTGCATCATGCCGGCGCCGGCGCCTTTCCCATTGGCCGGGCCTAAGCCCTTGGGGGAGCCTGCTGCAGGGCGGGAGAATTCGGGCTGCGGGAAGTAAGGTGCATTGCAGCGACCAAAGACCTCCTCGATCGCCTCCAGCTGTTCTCGGTATCCAGTCGGGATATTCACCTTGACCTCGACCTTAGGCACATGAATGTAGTGGCACGGGCGATTTAAGGCTCGCGAGAATGCTGCGCACACTTGGTTGGGGGAAAGGGTTTCAAACGTCAGGGCAATCCTATGCCATTCTTAGCCTCGCACGCACGGCGGATTGTGTCTGCTCTGCCAGGGAAAAACTTACCGGTGACCGTGCCACTTCTTGGGGCCATCCTTGAAAATCTGTAGCAGGGCCGGGCCAACATCATGCTCCGCATCCAACCACGGCAGCGGAGTATCCGGGTCGAATGGCGCATGCCACTCGAAGCTCCCATCGGGCATGAGTTCCATTTGGAAAAGCGGGTATGGTAGACTGGTGAAGTTGTTGTTGTAGATTCCGGCGTAAACAAAGGTTGCGGGAAGTCCGAGTTGCCGGATATAATTTTCGACAGTGAACTTGGGCGCCCATAACGGTACGGGCAGCCATGGTCCGTAGACGGAGTGATCTGGCATACTGCTGTAGATGTAGTGTTGAATGGTTCCAGCCCGTTTAGCCGCATCAGCGAGCGCACGCCCGATTGCGACCTCGTCGCCTGATTGTGACGTCGTATTGATGAAGGCCAGGTTGGCCCCTTGAAAGAGGGCGTCCATCAGGGGGACATTGTTGGTCAAAGGTCCTTGGAACAAGGTGACATTTGGCAGACTCTCCAGCTCCTCCGCAATGATGCCTTTGAGCGAATGAATCTGAGCTCGTACATGATGGCCGACGGCGGAAGCGACGCGGATAAGGGAAGCAGCCTGGCGACCCGTCGCGTTGACGACGGCAATGGTCTTCTGTTGTGTCATTCGGGGCGGTACTGAAGAAGGAGGGGGGCGAGAAGGAAAGAGGGGAGAAGAAGCGCGGGGAGACGGAGATGCCGTATGCGAGAAAGCCCCTCTGCCGGATATTTTTAAAAGGAAGAGAGGATATGCGGGGTAGAGAAGGACGCAGGTCGAAGGACGAGCAGTTGACGGAGAGAAGCCAATGAAGAAGGCGGCGGCTCCGACAGAAAATCTGGAGTAAGTCTGGTGGGATCAGGAGCACGAGTTGGTTTGGTTTGATTTACACGCTTATGATTATCACGAGGGGCCGGCCGTTTAGGTTAGTCGTCGGACGAGATGGGGCACAATTTAGTAGTATCAGTTTCCCAAGTCCTCAGTGGGGTTTCGGCCTGCGCTGCTGAACTTGCTCACTAATTGTCCTGGTCGATTGAGCGCAATTTAATGCCGCAATCGATTTCTTGAATGGTGCAATTAAATTTTTTTTTGTTCCTTTTGATGGTGATAGTGGATCGTTGAGTTGGAGGTTGTTTGATAGAAGCTGATGGTCGTTGCTTTGAGATGCCGCAATCCACAGGGGGTAAATGTGGTGCCTTTTTTCTTTTTCTTTTTCTTTTTCTTTTTTTTTTTTTTTGGGTTCCAATTAACTGTTGGCTCGCAAGGTCTTTTCTCTTAGTTAATGGCCCCGGACCAGATGGATAAGGGCTTCGGTATCCTCTCCTTCCACTGGCAATACTTCCGGTGGACTTCCCCGCCAGTGACTAAAATAATTATCAGGGGGTTCGCAATCAGAAGGAGACAACGAGGTGATCGCAGAAGATCTGAATCAGTGCGCGGGTCTGATTGAACAAAAAAAAAAAAGAAAAAAAATTCAGAACGACAGGCAGTGAAGGTGGATCGATCCAAGGAACGGTTCCGAGACTCGCGCCCACAATAAAGTATGCCCCTTCAGGAGGATAGGAACGCAGGTATCGCAAAAGAGATGGCTTAATCGATGGTACAATTGACCATGAGCCTTGGGAGGAGGTTGTCTTCTCTTATTATTCTCGATCAAGCTCAAGTCCGAAGGATGTAAAGGTATAAGTAGGCAAGGGCAAGTATGTCATATGGACGAATGGAGACATCCCAATGGACGAGCAGTCCTGTGAGGTCCCCAACTAAACCACTAACTGACTGGTCTGGATTAGGATCGTCTGGGGTTGTTGGTAAGAAAATAATAGGGAGGCAGACTAGTAAGGAAAAATTCAAAAAAAAATAAAAATAAAAATAAAAATAAAAAATTCAAAAAAGACTCCGTCCGATTTGGAGTCCGAGGAGGTTGAATCACCCACTGTGGTTCATATCGAGTAATGAGAAACAGTCATGGAAACAACGGGTTTTGCCCACACAAATACTCAACGTGGATATTTTATCCAGTTTAATTTTCTCTTTTTTGTTGTGATTTTTTTTTCTTATTTCATATTATTGTTTCATTGATTTATTTATTTGAATTTTTTTTTTTTTTCTTTTTACTTTTCTACGGTTCGTCTGTATAAGTCTTACCTGGTCGTATCTCAACACCCGTGACCCTTACTTTGATAGGAACCGGTGGCATTTCCAAGGAACTAGGAATAGAACCTCCCAAGGTCTCGACCGGGTTTGATCACCGGACAACTAAGACTGCACAGACGAAGTCGCCAGAAACATCCATAACTCCATAATTCCGCCCGTCGCGCAGCCATTGACCGTCTTTCCTTTACGTAACTCGGGATGCAGGCTGAATTGTATCGGATGCTTTAACACGTCGCCGGGTCGATCTAGTGATCACGGCCTTTGATATACGGTGTTCACCTTCGGTAGTTGATTGCTTGATCCTGGATTGACTGACGCAATAATATCTGTTCTTAATTATCTGGATCGACTGATATGTAGTCGAAGCGTACATTGTATGTACATATGTATTGACAAGTGTATACGATGCCCACTCAAACGTTCGTCAATTCAGCGAATGTTTGCTCAACTGTACCTCACACTAAAAACCATCCGCGCTGTCTTTCCCTGCTCGCTTTAGGGCGGGGGAAAAGTAACCCGGGAGGCGTCTCCGGTTACATGCTCGATCCAGTATAGAACGAGTTAGTGAGCACGTTAGAGAGTGCCGACTGTTCGAGATTCACAATCACATCTCCGATTCTCATTCCTGATGTAATCTTGTCAATTGAATATATCCTTATTCCCTGTCTACCCGAGAATAAACGGGACAGCTGAAATACACTGGGTCTATACAAGATATTCGCAGTGGAGCCCCGTCTGAAACCAAGTATTGGCCCTCTCTCGTCGTCCATCACGCCCACGTTCCTTTAACGGTGCCAGTCGGCCACCGCTCCCGACTCGGTCTGTGCTGGCCTTTGTTGGTATTATCCCGCCAAGAAGCTACTACACCCGCCGTCATCGTACCTTCTGGGTCCCTCTCAACCGACAGACGGTCGAAGCTTTGCCCAGTAATTTACCGCTCGGATACGAGCACATGACCGCTTTGTTGCCCGTGAAGAACAATTGATATGGTTGGATCGATAAGCACTCCCCTCAGCATATTTAAGACTAGTACAGAGTATACTCGGCTTCTCCTCCGTAGTATGTATGACCTGCCTTGTCGGGTAACGTCTCTCATGGCTTCGAATCGGAGAGGGCCGTTCTCACCCCGCAATTTATCGCCTTGGATCAACCTGGTGCGTGCTTTGCTTGCAGGTCAGCCTTTGCGCTTAGGCTCTTTTCTCTTCTCCACGGGCGTGACACCAAAGGATCACCTCACCTGATCTCGGTGGAATTTGTTGAACAACAGGCGTTGTATATGATATGATCTGAATTGGCGTGGTCGTCTTTGTTTGGATCGGTTTCTTGTCTCAGACTAGTGCTTATTTCTACACTTCTGTGATTTTTCGTGGGATCTAGACAAAATTAATTCCTCGGGCCTCAATCAGGCTTTGCGCTTATTTTTTTTTGTTGTGGTTGTTTTTTTATTTTTAATCTATCGAGCTGAATCAAGCATGTCGTCTCGTGATCATATCCTTGATTAATTACGGTGCCGATCCGGCCATCACTCGCTCGGCCAGTCGCTCCTCTCCTACTTCTTCCATTTCGCGGTCACTGACCTCCCGCGGTCCAATCCCCGCCAATCCCCAGACTCCTGGTCTGCGTCGCGCGAGTAATTGCGCCGCCGTCCGTTCATCCGAGTGCAAATGTGCGCCCGACTTGCGCAGCAACATAACATGCTCCGATAAGCCTGCGTTGGCCGCCAGGAACAGTGGGGTGCGGTTGTTGCGATTCCGAATGTGGACGGAGCCACCCTGCATCAGCAGAAAGCGCAGGATAGAGAGGGATGGCGATGTCGCGGCCAGATGCTAAGGGTCTTTGTCAACGGGCGGGTAACGGCAATGGACGGAGGGAGGGTATCTTACGATCGGAGTATTGCCAGAGTAATCGGCATCGTTCAAAAGGTAGTGGTTTTCGAGTTTCAGGATCTCTTCGACTCGTGCAAGATCGCCCTGAGCGATGGCATAGCCCAGGATGGTAAGTGTCTGGACACGCTCGGTGAGGGCGCCGTCTGGGTGACGGAAGACGGGTTGCGAAACCTCCGTCAGTTCTCCTCGGAGTGATTTCGACATGTCCCGTGCCACGGACTCCGGGGTTGCGTTGGGCAGACCAAGGAGATATGCCAATTTTGTCAGCGCGGCCTCCGTAGTCAAGTCGAGACCGGCGACAACACCAGCTCGAGACAAGCTCATGCCAGTGGCATATACCGGGCTAACGCTGCCAGTCAAACCTGCTCAGAGTCAGAGTTGAACGGTCCCATCGCGTGAGATTGGAGATCGTGGGCATCTTACACTGGGTAACGTTAACAATCACAATCCCTCGCTTGATGGCGTCCGCAAGCACTTTAATCAAAGCGTTATCTTGACCGTCTGGTGCGTTGCCAGCTCCAAAGGTCTCTAACACTAAACCACGGAGTCCTTCTAGTCTCAACACGGCGTCAATCATTTGGGGCTTGATGCCCGGGAATATACGAAGACAAGCGACATGGGCGGTATCTAGATCTGTCTGGATGCTGAAATGCTCGATGCCCCTTGGCCGATTCACCAGCTCCCAGTTGACGTTAGTGCGCATAGAAGTGGTTACAGCCAACGGTGTGCAGTTCGGAGAATCGAATGCACCGAAGTCACTGGCCGCCACCTTGCTCGACCGGTTACCACGGAATAGTCGATTGTTGAAGTACAGACACACTTCTGGGATCATGAAGTGGCCAGCCACAACCAGAGACCCAAGAAGGTTGTCTGTCGCATCATTCTGAAGCTCCAGCATTGGAGCCTGGGATCCCGTAAGAATTACGGTTTTTCCCAGGTTTTGCAGCATGAAGCTGAGTGCGGAGCTAGTATACGCCAAACTATCTGTACCGTGAAGGATAACGAATGCGTCAAATAGGGTGTAGTTTCTCTCGACGGTTCGCGCAATTTCTGCCCAGCCTTTGGCATCGATAGAGCTGCTGTCCAGTAGCTCCTCAAATTCAAACACCGTATATCTTACTCGGCGGCCGTACGCAGTCTGGGGTGTCCGTAGACTCTGATGGCCCTTGATCTGGCCTGTGTTATCGACAACAACATCCATCATGGTCGAAGGAGAGCCATCATTGAAAGTAGGCACCCGGGCCAGGCATTGCTCTTGAAACCCTCGCGCTGGTATAAACCCTGATGGTGACGGTCGCATACAGATGGTACCTCCGGTCATAATGATAAGGACCCTCGCTTCAGGGAGTTGAGGTTCTAATTGTTGTTCAGTCATCTCATGGATGACACCGTCCATGATTGCCATGATGAGAATGAGAAGCTTCAAACTCGCCGGACCCTTGACCACCCTACAAGGATGCGCAGAATAACGCGCAGGTCGAGAACTGGCTGGCGTAGCAAAACAACAGCGATAAAAATCGTGGCCTCTTCTGTGCTCTTCAATACGTATCGTTGAAGCTGTGCGATGCGACCCAGTTGACTCTGATAGCAAGCTGAATCAGCAAACAGATAAGCCTCCGAACGTGGGGCAGTCAGTGACCTTGCGAATTGAAACGAGTGCTTTTATAAGATTCTAATAAGATGCTGCGGAGAGATAACATTCATAGACTTCGCAGCCGCCTCTACCCCAACGCATTGAGGGTTTAATTTGGAGAAACAAGACTCCGATCAACGGCTACCCAGTATTCTATTACGTACAGCAGCACACGATTCGGCGAGCGGCTTCAAATCCTGAAAACGTTTGGGTGGGAAAATTTCGGGTGCACGCAACACCGAATTTAACTGGTGGATCACAGACGGAGTCCCGTCAACTTAAACACACACAAGACCCACAGCAAGAAGAGGCTTTTTTCTCTCTCTTTTTATTTTTGTCTGTGTTGTTATTTTATTTTAATGTTTTAGCTTTCGTGTCTCTGAGACAAGGAGTATGTAGCAAGCAAAACCTAGATTGAAAGCCTGGATCCAGGTAGCCATTGACACAAGTTATTGGTATTAATAGAACTACCGAATATTGCCCACATATGGCGCTCTTTGTGCATTTTGCATCAGCAAAAGACACCACTGCATTAATATAGTCTGTTATACCGGTATCAGGTACAAAACATGGAAAATGTCACATTGATATCATGCAATTAGCTGCCATGGTCAATGTGCTTGAGTATACTCTGTAGTAATTCCATCCATCCCGATTGTATGACTTACCCGTGATGTTATTGAACAAATTGCATACAACATAAAAAGCAACAATTCTCAGGCCTTCCATGGATCCAACGGATACAAACTCACTCGGCCAGATGCGGCATAGCCAACAGTCACATGGCAGTCAGATCTCACCTGCGTTCACTTGCTTCAATCTATGAACTTCATCTTCCTTTACAAAATGTCAAGTCTCGGATTACAACTCAAACAAAATGGTTATTGAACTTTTTTGAATTTTTTTGTTTGTAAAGGTCATCAGCTCCTATGTCTTCAGGGTATCGTCGTCTGATGTACAACTCCCGACTCCACATAGAATTTCTCTGGGTTCTCGATCAACGATCCTCTCGTTGGCATTGTCAAAACGCCCTCACTTCGCCGTGGACAAATCATGAAAACGCTTGCAAATCACAAAAATAATATATACGTGCAGAATGGAGGAGTGAAAGAAGCGAAGTGTGGGATAATCAATATCCATCTTTACTCCGAGTCCTCGGACGCGCCATGGCCCTCGAGAGCGCTAACACTCCCTTTATATACGCGTCTACCGCGAGCGAACCAATCGCAAAGAACAATGAAAATCACAACACCATATACAGCCGAGACATAGTTCATGTCTGTGAGAAAAGTCAGCGGAAATGTCCAATCAGGTTAGGGGTAAGAAAGACTTACTGCCTGTGTTCACTGGCATGGTTGATGGGAAGGAGTACATGACAAGACAGAAGATGGTCCATAGGACGGTGACAATATTGGCGAAGGCGCCCCATTTTCCAAGCCAGAAGGGTCCATGGTTGATGTTGTCACGACCGCGGTACCAGAGGCATACGATGGGACAGGAGTACGAGATGTATAGCAGGGTGATACAGGCGGTCACCATGCTGTTGAAAGCGGTAGAGGAGCCGAGATAGAGCAGTCCGAGAACAGCAACGATGAAGCTGCTGGCGTTGTGCGCGTTCAGAGGCACATCGAGAGTGTGGTTGACCTGAGCGAGCCACTTGTGTCCAGGGATACCACGGTCACGAGCAAAAGCCCAGCAGAGGCGTGACTGCCAAGTGTGGCACGCAATCAGACATCCCATTCCGGTGACGAGCAACAATGTCTCCAACACAATGGCGCCGGGCACATTGTCAAGCGCTTGGTAGTAAAGTTCCAAGATGGGAACCCCAGTAGCTGTGTTCAGAAGCTTGTTCAGGTCATTCAGACTGAAGAACATGGAGATACAGTAGAACCAAGACGTGACGAAGCCAATGCCAACGGTGGCCATAATAGCGATGGGGATGTTCTTCTCAGGCTGTGGTACCTCCTCCGCAAGGTGGGTCGCAGAGTCCAAACAGGCAAAGATCCAGTTTGGATTGATCAGCCCAACAATGAAAGCCATACCGTCCGACTCCCATCCAGTGGAATTGACGAAATGACCAAACACATATGCTGCGCTGGCATGAGTCTTAGCACAAGCGGGCACTGTGACCAGGATCACGAAGAAAGAGAGTAGCGAGATGTAAAGGGTGACCTTTGCAACTGCAGGCAACGTTTTACCCCAGCAGTTGAAGAGGTAACAAAAGAAGTTGATGAGCTGATAGGCTACCACAGTATGCCATGGCTGCGGAACACTATTATCTTTAAGTCAGCACTACAGACAATAAGATGTATCTAGAAGGAAGGTTAGGACAGAGCATACAATTCGGGATGGCCAAGTTGCCACATTCCTACCCCAGCGGACCCAAGACTGAGAGCTACACTGGCACAGGCGAAAATGGCACCAGCATATCCAAACCAGCCGGTGAAATAGGATGCAAATCGTGAATATTTCTTAGGCGCAAGTTCATTGGCCCAGAAATATTGACCACCGGCATTGGGCATGGAGCTGGCCAGTTCGGAAAGCGAGGCACCCACACATGTTGAAATGAAACCGATCCAAATCAATCCGTAAACGATAAGGACCGTGCCTCCAGAACTGATACCAGTGATCAAGGATGCAGAGATACCAAACCAGGAATTGGACATACAAAACGCAATACCAACAAGTGAGAGTATTGAGAAATTGCGCTGCAAATCCTGTGTGTATCCCATCTCGGCTAATCTGAGTGCGTCAGAATCATCAGCTCCTAACGCATTCTCACTCTTGCATGCCGGATTCACATTCGGCTTCTTTTCTATGTCAAAGTCGGCCATTGTTGCGGTTGATTGCAATGGGTGTCAGTATACGGGAATGGTGCAAAGGGCAACACAGTGTTCGAACGAGGGATACAGAGCCAGCTGCCGTGTTGCAATGTTACTGCGTGGGAGTACCTAGATCGGATGGTCTAATTGAATCAATTATAACCACGGTTGCATAAGGGCTTATGGGTTCGTTCCGGGTCTGGTTCGAACGGTAACGGGGCTGCTGTTGGACAGGTTGACTGCTGTTAGGGTTACGGGTTCGAGGTAGGGTTCTGGCGATGTTACTGCTGGTCAGGTTGACTGCTGTTGGCAGACTTCCTGCGGGTCCAAAGTCGCGAATGGGTTGTCGAGTCTGTCGTCGGGTCCGAGATATCGTTGGGTGATTGTCGCACACGGAGGGATGACTGCACCTATCGATACGGCGATACAAGATACAGGACAGCCGAAGCGATCAGTATTGGAGAATTCAATCTCTTGTTTTTTGTTGCTTGTTCTCTCGAGCTATCAACAAAGCGGGAAGGCGTAAGACATAGACGGAAGTCTTGGTGTCGAGTACAGCCTAACGCAAAATGAAGCAAATACCTCAAGCTGCAGATGCAGGAGAAGGTGTTTGCAGAAGGTAGATGGGAGAGGAGAATATGAAAGGAGAAACTGATGTGAAGTTGGAGAAAGATTGGCCCCATGGGAGGGGCAACAGTGAGTATTTAAGATATCGTCACGCTACGCTTCATTTTTGTTTTCCTTTTTTGTTATTAATGTCCATTGTCAACCCTACTGTGGTATGCCTCGATGTACTCCGTAGCCTTCCTTGTCGACTCCACTTTGGATTGATTAGTTGATCCCCCAAAGGTCCGAGAGGTTCCCCATCTTTTACCTCTCTTGGCTCCATCTCTCACGGAAGCACTAACTATGGTGGACAGAAGTGATAGGCACAAAGTCAAATTTCGCACTCCGATTTGCTCCACCTAGCAGTGTGATATCGTCATAGGCTGTGCACTAGGCACAGAATTAACCTAGTGTTATTCTGGTTCTGCAGTCCCTGGTGGCGATGGGTTGAAAGAATGAGGCACTATTCGGCTGTGGTCAGGGCTAGTTCGATAGCCTTGGTTACATAGTCAACTTTGCCGCAATGGTTGGTTGATCCTTGCTGCACCCGGTGGCTTCGCTCCACTTCGGCCCTAGAGGCTCCGCCGAAATTTTTTGATTCCCTATGCGTTTTCACAACTTTGGATTTTGTTTTCCCTACTCATCTTTCTCCTTCCCTCCAACGTCATACATTATAATTTGTGCGCGTCAGGAGGAGTTTTCCGCCGTCTAGTTCAAACCGGCTCGGAACTTCAAAGTTCATCGGCCCGTGTCCGACGGTTTCTAGAAAACCAATCCTGCAGCAGGGATTCTTGCGAGAGCCCACGACCTGGTCAATAGTTGCTATGCTCCTTACATGCCATTCGACAATCAGTTTTATTATAGTTTCCGGGTGATATTAACCAGGTTATTATCATTGACACCTTAAGGATTCCTTAGGAAAAGTCCGCTCAAACCGTTGACGTTCCGAACTTTCTCCAGTCGCGTGCAGTTGCTAGCCTTTTGGTTTTAGTAACGTCCACGACCGGGACCAGTGGAGCTCACTCTTATGTGAGGTTTTGATTCGCACGTCGAGCCAAGATGAGAAACACTCGACTAAAAGATAACCTCACCGATCCGCGTGTGAAACTCGAGGTATTTTATCCTCGGTCGAGTGGTCTGCATCCTCCCCCTGGAAAAAAAAAAAAAAAAAAGGAAAAGAAAAAATACCATACCCAACAACCCAACAACCTCTGTAATACAATATGCAATGAAGTATACACCTTTACTACTATTTTCTGAAAGTGAGCGCAATCATATCCTACCTTCCAGAGCCAATAAGATATTCGGTCTTTATCGCAAACATACCCTGAAGCTACTACTAGTAGTATCCCACTCGATGTTAGGGAGCGCCCCTAGTTAATTACGGAATCTTCCCGCGCCTAACAGAGCTTGGCTCTACTCAGCCTTCTGCCTCCCACATGCTCACAGGCAGCAACGTTTACCCCTTAGAGAAGCTGGATATCTTAGCCGGGAGCGTTTCAGTTGGCTTCTTTTCCATATCAAATGGCGATCATTGCTGTACGTCGTCAGACCGTGTAACGTGTAACCTTTCTCTCGGACAGGCTAATAAAGTCTATCCTTTGAGGTAATCTCGACGGCTAAGACCGATGATAAGGCGTGGTATATGAACCCGTCACTTCAATTCTACACTGGGATGACTCGGTGATAGCATAGATAACAATAGCCTTGTTTCCTATTCTTCTCTTATGCTTCTGATGTGGGTAGCAACTAGGCCAAGTGCGTACGTAACGGAATCTAACCGACAGCTTCAGATCCATACTCCGTAGGTAACATTCGGCATGGCAGCCACAAAAGCTTGGAATCCGCTTCCCCATCGGGAATAGCCCTGGGAGTGGCCCAGAACAGTTCAGCATCCGATTCCGAATGGCATAAGAGTTATGAGAAAATCACTTCAAGTAGGGAAATTCTATCGCTCACCAACACCATGTATTATAGCAGAATTGATCACAGTTGTCCGAAAAGTGGCCTTGTATCCACCTTTTTCAATCCTCGACTTCCAAGGATTCCTCTATCACGTTAAGACAGAAGGCCGTGAACCTCAATGACGTAGAAATATATCTGACATACTAGAAGTCTTGCTCATGGTCGCAAAGAATGCCATGAATGATCCACATGCATTCATCTCGTATTACTGTTATGCATCTAAATTTAGACTCGTCTTATCTGATATTCCCACGCGATTTGCTACCCCATATTCTGAGAGGACATATCGTCACGCGAGCTCCAGACGTAACGATCGCACCTAGTTGACTTTGCCTCGATGGTCGCTACTACTGGTATGCTTCATTAAATGAAGATAACTGCCAAAGCCCTTGAGTATACCAAACGGGGAAACCGTATGGTGTCTCGAGCAGATCTGCAAACCCGTAGCCTATCCTCATGCAGGAGGGACATCTTTACTCTTTTCGGGTAACCACTTGAGTTTACCCTAAACCAACGATCAACTACATATACCCGAGAGCGCCTGATGACCGTTAATCTCCTCTTTCTCAGCCACCAAAATCTACACCAATCTGACATATGTCTGCTTGTTCATTTGCCCATGTTACTGTGTTATGATAAGCTTTAATCAGTTATTGGTTGCTGTGGATAACCTGCGATTGATTAATTGACCAGCCTGTTCGGTCGTTATCTTACACTTTGGGGTACCGACGGGAAGGAGTCAATGCTTCCTTTGAAACGAGGTTAATGGCTGAGGTGTTGTGGCCCAGGGATTTTCCGGGGTACTAATAGTTTGTACCTTGCCACTTTGGTCTTGTTGCATTGGCTTTACCGGACGGATCAGCGGGCTCTTGTCGGTGAGATAGGGTTTTATTCCTTCTTACGGGCATTGCATGGAGAAGGAGTCGCTCAAGGTTTACGACATAATGAATACGGGGACCGCCAGAAGGATTTGGGTTATGCGGGGAGTGCCTATCTCTTATCTCCTTCTTTCAACCATTCTGTTCCTTGAACATCTGCGATTCAAGCGATCGCATGATAAGGTACTCAGATAGTACCAATAGTCTGCGTGCTCCGGTCACTGTGGTTTATTGATAGGGTATCTTTTCTATTGCCGTCTCCCCTATGGCAACGAGAGTGACAGATTGACGGAGGATTACTTCTCTTGAATCGTGATTCATACTCCTTACCCTCCTCGAAAATGAGTGAAAACATGGCAAGACTCATATAGAGTCTGTTACACCCTTTGCAGTGGTATCATTGAATTCGTCTGATTTCGTCAAAATGTTTTTCTCCTCATTATTAGGGCCACAGACAATACCGCTGCAAGCAACCGCGGTGGGTGGCTACTCCGCGGAAACGAGATATTGCTATTATCAGCCGTGTTCATCGGACCAGGCGCACTCGTTACTTGCAGAGGTAGCCTCGTCGCACGGTAAGGTATTTAAATATTATTCCCGGTGCCATTCCCAGAGGAGTAATACGTGGTACTGATACTAAACGCATCATCCAGTTTCGAAGCTGAGGGCTGATGTTGTGCATGGTGATATGCAATATTATGTTGTGGCTTTCGGCGTCCTTCCCGGCGAGAAGGGAGATACTGGCAGACAAAGCCACCTTGGATACAACGCGAACAGGATGGTTGAGTGGCATCAAATTTGAGATGCTGTTTGCGGCATTCCGTGATATTGAGTAATATGATGGTTTATCTCTTTATCTCTTTCTCATGTCTCTGAGGGATGAAGATATTCTGAACTCGCTGTAAGTCTCCTTTTCACCCTGTCTTTCTCTTTCTTTCTGAGGCACGCGGTGGTGACCTTAAGATTATTCAGTGCGCTGCTTAGTAGGTTCTAGGGCCCGCGAGTCGTAACTCGCGGATAATGTTGGTCTTTTGGCAAAATGTCTTGTATCGCCTAAGCCCTAGATTAGGTGCTTTACATTCTCTTTTCCCCCTCTCTTTCTATTTATGCTGTTGGAGTAAAGTGGCATTGGTCTTCCTACTGCCTCGTTAGATTTCCAGAAATTGCATTCTCGGTTGCAATGTTCTCTTTGCCAAGTCACGACATATATGTACTAGATACTTGGCGCCTGCATAAGCTTGTTATTCTTATGTTGTTTTTACGCGAGGTTTCCAATACTTCGTTGGTGGACATCATTGATGTCTATATTGGTGTATAACAGACGATCGCGCATGTCGTGTTCTCATAGCTGGACACATTGGCACATCTGCAAAGGTCAGTTTCTCTCGATGAAGTAATGAGCTTTGCTTTACTATGGCTTTATCATTGACTGATGCCTATTGTTGGCAGTGGTTACTTGAAGTGCTTGAGTTGATACGATGGAATGACGAAAAGCTTTTCCTTCAATATCAACCATGGAGAGGATTGTATGAGATAACAGCTCCGCTTAAAGCAAGACACAAGACATTGACAAGCCCATGCAAGGGACCCTAGAGCTCTACGAGGAACTCCTATGTCAGTTACGTGACAAGTTGAGGTAAAACGCGTCACCTTAGGCTAATCTCTGAAATACAACATAAACTGAGTGTATAATTTAACATCCGCAGGTCAACATAGTTCATCCATATGGTTACAATAATAAAGGGCTTAGATGTTTACCAATTTGAGGCTATATTGCCAGCATTTCCCATCTTATCTGGCACATGGTTTCTGCTGTCAAAAAGCGCCCCGAGTAGATTTTATTCTAGGTAACATTGAACAAACAGCGGTATACTCCACAGTGGGGGATATATGATATCACAAGGTTAAATCAACGACTAATGATATATTGGTTAAGTGGGGTATAATGGAATATATATAGTAGTAGCCTACGCTCTCTTATGATCAAAATAGTACGGAGTGTATAAAACTAATGGGTCACTTGTGCTTACATGTGATGCCGGTGTATGGAGCTTTTGGTTTTTGAGGGTAGTATGTTAAACATGGGTCTAATTTATAGCCTGGATATGGAGTACATATCTGTTATTCTTATGAGTACTTTAGTTGTACTGTAGTTATGAAGCATTGTTGATTACAAAGTTGAAGTTCAAGGTTTCTTTCGGTGATGAACTGCCTGCCCATGCTGTATTTAAATTGTATAGAGGGGTAAACGGACTGATACATGCCACATTTCATTATTTAATAAAGCCAGGAGATGTTCTTTATATTGAGGTTGCATTGTCGCGGGAAGATGCCTGGTGAAAGCCCCAGGCTACGAGATCATGTGCCAATGATCTGCCTTCTGATGCGGTTCACCGTCACACCCTCGTTTCATCGTTTCCTACTCCATATTTAATCTATGCAACGCACGGTAGAAGATCTGTGGAATTTTTGGAGGTAAGATCTGACTATGTCTTGTTTTCTTCTTTTTTCTTTTTCTTTTCCTTTCTCTCTTTTTGTTTTAGCTCTCAGATCCGATGCTGCTTAGACTAACATCCAGTAGTGACACGGGATGAAGTTTCTATTCTCAACATGGTCCACAGTTCGTCCGATTCTGAAACGACAGTCGCTAACTTTCGGGGAAGTACTTACCCGCTTTCCTCTCAGCGACCGTGAGACACAATTCCCAGGATATGCTTGCCTCATGACTCAGAAAGTCAATGACTCGTGTGGGCGAGGAAGATATAAGGCTCCCCCTTGGTTGGCCTTATTCAGAACATAATTTTGAGCCTGTACCAGACTGACAAAGTACCCCTGAGGCTCGGATGTGCATGATGTCACGTTTCAACCTCCTATCCGCAATTTGCGACCGACCCAAACATCGGCCCCAGACCAACGCGTTAGCGTCCCGCTAGTCAGGAACGGGATCCAGCAACGGCCAATCTTCTGCCTTGGGCCCAATTCCGTTTTCCTCTCATTTGCAAGTCAAAACCTCCGATGAAACCATAACCCTTCGTTTCAGGTCAATCCACACCGTTACGCCTCCTGCTTTATCATAGGGCAGGCGCCCGATATGGCGCCTCCGGAGGTTCAGAATGACCTCCCCTGTTCGCTGGGTCCAAACGAACGACGGAGTACTGAAGTCTGGTATTGCCCCTGGAGATCAGCAATATCAAAGAATGGGGCCAAGTGGAGGCCCAGGGAAACCGTCGGGCACTGCCTCTCTTGGGCGCTGGCTAGCTGAGAAAACCCAAGACGCTCACGTCTCTGAGTGGACGTCCCACTGGCACACGAGACGTCGAGGAAAACCGCTCCAGTCCTCTGTTAATTATCTGTCATTAATGGAGGTCCTGCGAAGGTTGTGATAGGGAGGAAGGGAAATCGACATCCCAGCCCCCCGCGCTTGTAAGTTTGTTCTAAGTGGTTCCCGGCTATTGGGTCTGCAGTCTGATAGAGGCGACGCTAACCATTCTAATGAAATTTCCTTGAGATGATCTTGCTCTTTATCGATTAACCCCTCCCTGCAGAGTTTGGTTCGGACGATTGTCATTAATTTCGAGAAGGAAAAGAAGCGCAATAGTCATGGGAATAAGGGGATAGAATTTAATAGTTCCATGATCGGTTCTTAGCGACCCAACGGCCAAGTCAAGTTCGGTTCTTGGGGCCGAGAAATAGGTAGAAGACCAAGATGCAGAATTAAGTAAGTAGTTTATCAGATAGGGGCGACGGCAAGCGAAATGAGAAAAATTTAAAAAAGTGAAAAGGGCAACAATCAAAGACAATCGCGATTGGTGAACGGGGGCAAATTGGACTGGACTGACTGACATTCCCCAACGAACAGACCACCTGCTGTTGAAGTCACTCGGCTGTTTTTCTACTATCGCTTTGTTTAAAACCACTTCCTCCGCTCCCCTTCTTTAATATTTCCACCACATCATCCGACGGCGTTGACGTCCTTCCGCTCCTTTATTTTTCAGAAGGATTGTATCCTTTCTGACTCGTCGTTTTATTTTACACTCCTTTGTGTCGCTCTTTCTCCACTGTCTCTCGTTAAATTTGTTGATTTCTGTTATTTTTGCGGTCGTGAACTGACGGTACGATCGACTATGTACACCCTGGTTGTTTACCATTCCAGCCCAGGAAACATGGCTAATGAAGAACGAGGTTATTAGATAACCGACTCAAAAGCCCTGGATTCCTGGTGAGATTCCAGCATAACTATCGGATTATCTTGATTCAAGTCGAAGAATCGATCGATCGACCCTAGTAATCCCTGCGGATTTCCAAAACGGGTATGTCTACAATTTCTCTCTATCGCTTCCTCTCCTTTTTCTTGCTGCCCCCCGGTCCTTTGCACTTTCTTACACTCCAATGTAATATCATTCCTATATACACTCTATTCTTCGAAGCTCCAGCCCTAAATACCCTCGTGTAATACATCCAGTGGCGCGTAAAAAGAGGCGGAGCGCCGACGAAGCAAGGGGAATCATCTTCGCCCCTTGCGCCAGACCACCAGCCGCTGATGTTGAGGAACCATGATGTCAGAGGATTGTCCTGTTCAAGGTTCTTTTATTACATGTGGAGCTTGTTTCAAAGGGTTGGAGTTATGCGCGAACCTGCTTTGCCACTGTTGTGATTGTTCATGATGCGTTCTTATACTATGTTCTAATCCCCGCCATCGCGCCGACGATGCTACTGCGAAGTAGCCAGCGGCGCCAGGCCTCATCGGCTCCCTTCCCTATTCTGAACTTTATTCTGCCATATGATTCTTAATTATTGACCCTGGTGACGCTTTAGCCGATTACCTCGCTCGTGGTAGTGGACAGTCAATTGTCGCTCATTTTGCAGCCCACTCTTGTCCCTCTTTCTGAGATCCATCAACATTAAGGATCATGCGCCAAACGATGAGGCTTGATGTCGGCCTAGTGACAGGCCTGGCTGCCTTTTCGGGGCTGGCTGAGGCGTTTTGGCGTCTCCCATGCCGTGGAAGAGCTGGTTTGGCTCGTCTTGATCCCCTTATGGACCCCGGAAAGGATTCGTACCATGTGCATGCAATTCATGGACCTGACAGTTAGTTCACCAGCCTTACCCCATGTTGGTCGATTGTACTGAGTGATGATAGCCTTCGCCATGACCGCCGATATGGATACCCTGAGGGATGGCAGCTGCACTTCATGCGCAGTCACCCAGGACAAGTCGGCGTACTGGCACCCCGCTCTCTACTTCATGCACGAGAATGGTG